AAGCATAACTCTCATACAAAGAATCAAAAACAATAAAAGAACACTTTGATTGTCAAGTTTGAAATGAACCTACATTCATCCGAAACAAGCTACAACTATTCAGTTCCAATTGTTCAATTACTCTAAAAATCAATTGAGACAAACTTACAAAAAAGACAACTTACATATAACAGCTATGCGAACCCAAGTTTGCAAGCTTCAGAGAGCTCCACAACACCTGAAAAAGCATTTTTCTTTGAATCTCCCAACTATGAACTCTGCAATTCTCATGGCAACCCAAAATCTAAGCTTTTGGCGTTGGCATTCTCTTAGTCTTCTTGTTTCTCTTCTCCAATAAAGCTTTTCCAAAGAACTCCACAATCCGCTCATGTGATTCAAGAAGCATCTTGGTCCGCTTCATCTCCATGTCCCTTTGCATCGTCTCGACTTCTCTTGCCAACTCCATCTTCATCCTTGCCATCCTCATAAACCTATCTCCCAATCCCTTAATCATCGCCATCATCTACGCCGCCGGGTCTCCCTCTCTCTTCATCCTCACGCCATCACCATTACCACCACCACCTCTCTTCCCCAACCCTAACCTCTCTCAATACCCATCTCTCACAAACGTAGTAGACACAAAATTAGGGTTAGGGTTAGGGTTACGATAAGATTTTTTTTCGTCCCAAGAATCACTGTAACACTCGATCGACCGAAAATTTTGATCCGAAACCCGCCGATCCCATTGCTCATCAACCCATGAACACTCTAATTTTCAGTAACACCACGCTTCATACTCTGTTACACTTTGATTTTAGATTTAGAGGGTTTGGGGTGCACTACCGACGTGTATTTTTTTTATTTTTTTAGATTATATTATTTGTCTATTTTTTTGCATATTTTTTTTTTTTATAAAAAGTCCAAATATATTTATTTAGATCATTCTAAATACTTTTAAAATTGAAAAATGATTTACAAGATCACTGATGTGTAACTGAAATGATTGGTTAATGAGTAGGAAAGATATGAGACAGAGTGTCTTACCTTATGCTTTGTTTGTACGAATGAAAAATATTTTCTGAGAATGTTTTTCTGAGAAAGCATTTTTCTATGTTTAGTGGTGATGGTGGTGGGGCGACAACAATGGTGACGACGATGATGGTGGCGGTGGCCGTGGTGATGGTGATGTAGTAGCGGAGGTGAGAGGGGTGTGTTGGTGGAGGTGAAAATGGTAAAATTTTAGTTCAAAAAACGTTTTTCACTTCTTAAAAATGAAAAATATTTTCTGTTCAAATAGGCTTGTTTTTTATTGACTATGGAAAATGTTTTCCGTTGACTTTCATTTTTCATTATACCAAACAATAGAAAATACAAAAAATATTTTTCAAAAACTATTTTCCGTCCAGACAAACAGAATGTTAGATATTCTAAAAATCCATGCAGAAAATAGGGAGAGAAGCTCTCAAACCTTTCTTTTTAGGTATAAAAAAATCTAGATCTACACTATGAAAATATTTTTGGAGCTAGCCAAAAAGACGCTGGAAATCGCTTCAGAGAGAGACTCTCCCACGCCTTTGCGGGGTCTCTATCGCTTACATAAATTAAGATATAAAAAAAATCATTATAAGAATTCAAAAAGATAATATATGATCTTGTTACTTTATAGTTTAGCAAATTTTAGTTTATAGAAAAAAGAAAATTGAACTGATTAAGCTTAAACATTATTTTTTAAATTACTAATTAAGCTTGCATAATCAAACTAATTTAGCATAATTATATTGGATTACCTTAAGGTTTTAAAACTCTGCCATTTTTTCTTAAGGTTTTAAAACTGTGCCATTTTTTCATCAAGAATTCCTTAGTCCTATATATGAAAAAAAATGATATTGACATCATATTTACACTGAAATATATATTATTTCTTGTTTATGCTTATGTCTACACACTTTTTTGCATTAATTCCTATTGCTTTAACATTACGAAAAAAGAGATCAATGTAATTATACCAAATTTATAGGCATATTGTAATTTTTGCCTGAACCTTATGGATGGTTAGTGTATTTATTTTTTTTTAATTTTTTCTGAACATCACAGATTTTTTTTTTCAAATTTAGCATAAAAAAATCCTAAATCCTAAATGGCGACTTTATTTGTTTATGCCCGCGAGCGGCTTGCATCGAGAATGGAAGAAATGATCTAAGGCAGGAGGGCAGACCCGACCGGCCAGGGCTAGGTCAAAACAAAAATTCTATGATATCCCAACATTTTCCGGCAGCACAGCAAGAATTCTATGATATCCACAAAGCTTTTATTGATTTCCAGAATTTTCAGATGCGCGCGCGCGCAAAAAAAAAAAAAAAATCAAGAAAGTGCCCCGAGATGTAGATTCCTCCATAAGATTGTTCATTTGGTGAAGAACAATCAACTGACTGCTAATACAATACAATCATTACAGTCACAAACATATTTATAAATAAAAATAAATAAGAAGCATGGATCAGCTGGAAAGAGTCAAACACAACTGTCACCAATCCATTTTGATAGCAGCAGCAGCAGCAAGCTCATGGAAAAGGAAGACACTCATCTTCACAACAACAGTTGGGATGTGATAACCACAACACCAAAACCATGTTCCCAAAATGTTTTCTGATAATAAAATCTGAAACTAACCGCATTTCCTTTGTATCACACTGTTATCCCAAATTAACATTTGAAATTAACCACAACACCAAAACCAAGAATACTATACACAACTCAAAGCCTGAGAAAATTAACTCTTTTCATCGTAACAAATAAATGTATAACAATCGTAATGATTTTGTGTTGTAAACAGCGCTCTAATTTACATTGCATCATTCTGTGAAAAATTACAATAGGAAGGATACAAACTCAAGTATTACAATTTCTATCCTTCGGATAGCAAACAATTGAAGTGTGGCTAGAGTGAAAGCGAGATATATTATGATGCAGCCTAAATAACATGATATACTTGACAGAGAAAAAAAAAGATAAAATAAAATAATTAAAAAAAAAAGCCTAAAAGAATATGACAACTACAGTTTTTACAAAAAAGAAGAAGAAGATTAGATGCACACAACAAAATCACCTAGTCATCTCCTGGGGGGATAAAAAATTGGGTTCATTTCAATTTCTCCACCTCCAAACTCCCTAAACCCCCCGAACTTCTCAGCTTCTCTTGCAATCTGAATGTCATCAGCTCCATAGTATTGAACAAAAATTTTTACAACAAAACAAGGAATCAATGCTCCGATTGGGATGCCAAGCAAGCACAACCAAAACAATCCTGTTTGAGCAAGATGAACGATGGCCCTGCAAAATTAATTTTAAGAGTTGTAGTTCAGTCTTTGATCTGCCAAGCAAACAAAGATGAGAATTGACATTATGAAAGTGCAAAGCAATTTTAAAGAAAGTAGCGACTTTGCAGTTCAACTGTCACAGATGGTCACTAAACACATAAAGCCACCAATGGTACACTAAAGACAACTACGTTCATCCTCTGCCCTTAGCAGGGTGGCGCTATGCATTCATCAGGGTATTCAACTGAATAATATTCAGTTTTTTTTTTTTTTTGGCTTACCTATATATATGATATATGTAAAGAGTGGAAAATTAGTCATGAATCCCAACACATTCTATAATTACCTTACAATTTACAAAAAAAAAAAAAAAATTGGTAAAAAGCAGGAGACCATGTAACACTCATAAATATTGACTTTTAACAATGACATAATCCTAGGTGGTGTCACTAACCAATAAAAATAAGGTTGAATATGTCATCCCTTATACCCAATATTTACTCTACACTGTAATATTCTCTCCCTCTTTTTTGTTTTCTGTGGATTCTCTAATCTTATTTTTGAACAAGACATTGTACCCTAGAACTATGTATGGTGTAGATATTAATTAGGTGTGATGTTTGTTTGATCACCGATAATTTTTCTCGTTATTATGCATCACAAAATTTTTGTAAAATTGCATTTAGTTTTATGTTCCCAGAAAAGATTTCTTTGCTCACATTTAATACCCATGTTTTGGAGTGTCTCTGTAAAGAATAAACTCTTTATAAAAAAAATCTTGGTACTTTGACCAATTTGTTTTCTAGAAAAATTTATTTTGAGCTAAGCTTCAAAGAACCCACACAAGTGGCCCTGTGGCTAAGGGTTTGAACATAGGAAGTAAAAAGTCTCATATTTGACTCTCATGGGGCGCATAACACTCGACTTAACTGATATGGTTTGTGGGTCATTGTATGTATCTGGAGTTTATTTATAAGGCCAAACTGAAAGTGAGATCCATGGATATTAAATTGACTCTCTTCAGAAAAAGCTTTATGAGTTTTTCCAAGTGCTTCTCAACTGGGGACACAACCCTACACAGAAGTGCAAGTCTTTTGTGTTCAGTTTTTGGTTTCCTTTTTATTTTTCAGCTTATATCATGCTTCTTACATTTTTCTTTTATCAAACTGAAATAAAAAATTAGTTTGAGAGGAGCTTCCTAACGGAAAGGCCATAGTGCATGCAGCAACTAACATTCAAAGGTATCGATAACAAATGTTGAGAATGCTGGCAATGCAAACTAACACAAAATTACTCTATGATGCAATTGTCGTGTGCAACTAAGGCACACAAGCAAGAAGGGTGAGCACAAATGCAAAGTCCATCATGCTATGAGATTCAATGACGTAGCATTCATTTTCCATGGGCAACAGAAGCATACAAGCAAGGAAGGCAAGCACATGTGCACAAATATTCAATATGTAAATAAAAAATTAGCAAAGAGATCTTACCAGTAACCAGGTAATCCGGGTATAGCAAAGAGATCTAACCAGTAACCAGGTAATCTGGGTAATCCGGGTAACGAGGACACAAATAAAGGTTGCAACTATAGATCCCCAAACGGCTGCATGAGTAATCCAAGTCCACCGAATCACGTCCATGGCCAGGTGTATATTAACCACAATCACCACTGCAAGTGTCCAAAGATCTCCTAAGCTCGAAACATCAATGGTGCTGTGTCAGTACACAGAGGGGGAGAAAGAAGGCAGCTACACTTTGCCACAAAGTGTCCGCCATTGTTATCCAAAATAGTTTTGCATTATAGCTTTCCCCTCTCTGTCCAGCCCCATAAAGCTGGGGATACCTTAGAAGAGTCATTCTACTTAGATCCTTGTCTAGGATTCCAACAAAGATTGTAGGAAATGAAGTATAAATTACTGAATACAAGACGCTGCTCCACTCAGTAATTGCAGTTGTCAAAGTGAAACCAGTGAAAAGCGTATACCTACACCATACAATTAATTATACAATATCAGCTACATAGTTAAAGAGTGTTTTTGTATACAACCAGTGTTCGTACTAAACATGCATAATTTCCAGCCTTGTTCAATTAACTAAACAGTTATTTAACATTCATTTCTTGGCTCAAGGTAAAAGTATGTCAAAGTCCAACCCTTTTTTTTTTCTCACCCAGAAGCCCCTGTATCAAATGTGGTTGCAACTGTTATTTTTGCAACTAGCTTTAATATATTTTTGGCCAAGTTTAAACAAGGAAAATTGGGGAACAATCAGAAGAGGACCAAAAATAGAAAGAGAAATGCAGAATTTCACTACAATAAATAGTTTTAATTTATATATGTACTTTTTTTAAAAAAAGAAAAACCCAAAAAATATATTTATAGTATTACTCTCCTTTCATACTCCTGACTGTTACAATTGAAGACTTAGTTAAAGGCTCAGGCAAAGCCTTCAACCAAGGTCGGATATTATGTCCTCAAATTTTGTCAGCTAAGCTGATTGACATTTTCACATCACAATTGTTCTAGTATAGATTTTTCTATCTGAACATACGTTACAAAAAAAAATATTAAACTCACCAAAATAAGACAAGAACAAACACCGCATTCCTGTAAAAATTGTATAATATCACGTAGCCCATCCGCTGGTAATTCCAATGTCCATGAACCAATAAAAGGGGAACCAAGAATCTGAACTGCCCCATTGAAAAATCTGATGCCATGACAGCTTGCCGACCCTCTTGCCCGCTGATGCCAACTCCCACATCAGCCATTTGGATCATTGAAACATCATTAGCACCTGTGAACATTCAATCAAAACTTCTATTACCAGGGCAAAGTCCCAATAGATTAGATAAAATGCTGTTCATTATGAGATATCAATCTAATTAAGAATAATAATAAAGCAGAGAGAATAGCGAGGGAGGCATTTACCATCCCCTATGGCAAGAGTCATATCATCTGTCTTGTTCTTTACGAGGTTAACAATTCCAGCTTTTTGCAATGGAGCCACACGGCAACATAGCACAACAGAAAGAGAAATGCAGAATTTCACTACAATAAATAGTTTTAATTTATATATGTACTTATTTTTTTAAAAAGAAAAACCCAAAAAATATATTTATAGTATTACTCTCCTTTCATACTCCCGACATGTTACAATTGAAGACTTAGTTAAATGCGACTTCGATGTTCACTTGAAGTGTGCTTCGGTGGCGTATAGTATTCAACAGAGGATTGAGCACAAAGTCATACACAACCAGTTGATCTCTCTTCAAAAGCCAGCCATGCTCTTTTGTGATGCTTGCGGTACAAAACATGAAGGCACCTCCTATCTTTGTACTACCTGTGGGTTCTGGGTCAACCAGAATTGTGCTGATTCATTGTCTAGCACCATTAAACTCAATAATAACCCTCACCCTCACCCTCTCACCCTCATCTATTCTATTCCATTTGAAACTTGGCCGATCTGCGCGATCTGTAACAAGCGAGTGTACAGAAGAAATTGGGTTTATTATTGTTCCGACTCTGAATGTTCCGACTCTGAATCCGAATATTTTGTCCATGTAAATTGTGCAACATCAGAGACTGAACATTACATGTTGACCCTTTTTTCTTGCAACTCATTTTCTTTAAAAATTTTGTTGATTTGAGTTACTTACAGTTGATTTGAGTTACTTAGATTAAAAAAAGTATCTCCAGTTCTTTCATCCTTGATTAAACTCTGGTCAATATGGGATTTGAAACAATCCCATACCGTGCCTTTAGGCACGAGCCGTTGATTAATCTTGTTAATCAGGGTTGACCAGAGTTATGGGTTGATTATGTGATTGAAAGGTGTTATTGTAATCAAGATGCTTCTTGTTAATCACAAGCTACCCACCTTCTTGGCACTAATTGAAGCATCTCGGAACATTAACATACCTCTCATCATTTCTAGAGAATTCGAGTTTTCTTCAAAGATCTTCGAATTTTTAGACCACATTCTTGAATCCTCTCATACATGAATTGATAATATCGGTTTTATTATATTGAATACCGATACAGACCGTTTCTCTCATTAAATCGTATCGAACTGATTGAAATAGTTCGGTTTGATGCATTTTAATCGGTTTAAAATCTTTCAAACTTGAGCAATTTTTAAATATAATCACTAATTTATATAAAAATATTAAATTAGTTATTTGTCTACCATTTCAAACATATCTAATTCATCCATTTAATAAATACTTTTCAATTCCTAAATTAACAAAAATAAAAACAAAAAAAAGTTTAAAAATACTAAAATTTCAAGAATAATGAATTAGAATTAAGATTATATATAATAAGAATTTACAAATTTAAGTTATAAAGATGATAAAGTTAATTAATTAAGGTTAATAATTTTTTATACTTATTAATATCATTATATTATTAGATTATATATATATATATATATATATATATTATAAACAAAATATATGTTGAAGCGATTGATTTAGATTTAGTCCGGTGGACAAGGTGTTTGAACCAATACCGAACCGAGAACAAAAAAAAAAAAAAATCAAATTTAAAAATGCACAATTTTTGCTAAAAAAACAAATCAAATATAACTAATTTGCTCCGATTCAATCAATTTAATAGAATTTTTTTTTTGATTTTTCGTACCTCCCTAATTAAGATTCTCATCTAAAAAAACATACTCCATTAAGATTGTGTTTGAGAATCATGAATTAAAATTAAAATTTTAGAAAGTGAAAAGTTAGATTTATATTTTATTCACATTTTTCTTCATTTTTTAAATTACTATCCAAATCATAATCAAATCACAGCTTGTAGACTGTAGTAACTAGTCTTGAACCATTAAAGTTTAAAACCCTCGGGTTTGATTTATGAATTTAAGAAAAATTTGAAAAGAAAATTTAAAAAAATATAGTTATATTACATCTGCTTTTTCAATTTTTTATTTTATTTTATTTTATTTTTATACAAATGACTCCCAAAATTCATAAATTAAACACAATCTAAAAACTAAAGTCATCTCAAACACATCCACACCTTACCATCTAAAAAAAAGACACATCCACACCTTGATCCAAATTTATACCCTAAATTTTTTTTTATAAAACCAAGGAATCTGGCTCTTCTACTTCATTTTTATTTACTTATTATTTTTATTTAATATTTTTCCCTCTCTTTTTTTTATATCATTCCTTAAGTCCCATAGGTTTGATACCGTAGATTTTGACTCATTGTTAAGGTTTGATCCCGTACAAAATAATGTTTACTTTAAATTTACAAAGCTATATTGTGTCTGCTGAAGGTTTTACCCAAACAATAATTCTATACAAACCGTTCAAATGTATATTGTTTTACTCCAACAAACATACATTTGAAGGTTTTCAAATGTATTTTTTAATGTTAGTTTGGCCGTTGGAGTGGTTCATATCATCAAATGAAAGCATCATACGAAACCTATTACATTTTTTTGTGGTACAATAATGAAGTTGAAAACAAAACCTATAGAGAAAATAGGAGAAAACAGATCATGAAAAAATGAAAAGCATCTCAAAGTCAATAGTCCCCATAGTTTTCTTCACTAGCAATCAAAGTGCAAGGATAATAAAAGGTTTACTCATCACTGATGCTCACATAAATCCATTGATTCCATAGAAAACACATTAAAACTAATAAGCCAAAAAAGAAAAGAAAAAATACAAAAACTAATTGTGTGGTAAAATGGATCTCAGAATAATATGACTATTTTCAATCTCTTTTGAGGGAATTACAGATAGATAATGCAGTTTTTATCAATCATCATTGATCCTATCCCAAAAAACACAATTGAGCAAAACAAAAAAATTTAGTACTAATAAAAATAAAAAAAAAAAAAAACAGAGCAGCCAAGCTAGACAGAGAGAAAGCTATATCCATAGATTTATGAAGCAGAAATCAACAACAGTCTAAAAAATTTGTCACAAAAAATGTTAATAATTGTAAGTTTTAGCGATAATTTATAAAAATCGTGACAAAAAATGTCACTAATTGTAAATTTTTAGTGACATGTGTAAAAAACCGTCACAAAATTTTTTATTTTGAGTGATAAACTTTTAATAGTTTAAATTTATCCTTATTATGATCTGACTTGAGTGTATGATTTTGCAATCTCAATCAATTCTACAAATTACATTATTGAATTTGAAGTATATTCACTTTATTTTGTAACCGGACATTATTTCATTCCTCTGTTGATAATTGGATCATCAACAACCAAAAATTAAAATTAAAATTAAAATTTAAAAAATAGCCCAGCCAATGAACTGCTAAACTATCACAATTAGGATTTGAAAATCTCCAAATAGATTTTCATCAAATTTCAGTTTCTACAAAAAAAAAAAATTTCGAGAAGGAACAACGGCAGAGGAAAAAAACACAAAGTGGACATTGATAGTACATATGCGAATCGTCTTGGAAACATTCGCCACATTGGCTACATGGTGATTGACTATCACTATTCTCCAGGGGGATGTGGGCATATCTGAGAAGGTGTGGGTGATAGTGATGGAATTCAATGGTCTCCCAATACTTGACATTTGGAATCCATTCAATGGTCTCACAATGATAGAACCATAAGTTTGGATTTATTTCACCCTCACAAATCTCACAATAGTACTCCTCATCCACGTTCGGGTCTTTGAGAGGAGGAGGGGAATAGGTTAAGGTGAATGGGTGTTTATCGTATCTGTGACTAACGGTACTCGGCAAAACAGCACACCCAACACAAATATTCAGATTGCAAGGGTCACATACAAATGCAAATCGAAGAAAAACATCATTACAGGCACCGCATCTACCAGACAATGTTCACCAAGGATCCTCTAGAGTGTTTTTTTTCTAAAGTTTCCTAAAGTGGTGTATTGTGTGGTTGAGATTTAATGTTGAAAAATTGATGTGACTTGTCATTAAATCTCAACCACACAATGCACCACTCTAGGAAACTTTCGGAAAAAAAAACTCTAGAGAATCCTTGCTCGACAATGTTTGCCTTAGAGCGAGGGTGTGCTTTGTGTCCGATAACGCGTGGTAGGGATGCACACTTACAATCGACGATGGAGTATGGGCAGGTCATACAGCAGAAAATAAACGTATTGCTATCTGATCTGCAGCATGTACATTTTCATAGATGAAAATTTGGAGTCAAGAGAAGTTGATGCTCTGGGTGACATGGGTGTCGCAGTTCATTGGGTAACTCTGCACACCACTCGTGGAGAAAGAAATTGCATTCAGCACAATAAAAAAAATGAAGCAGAAATGGTTTGTGCACACCCATTGCATTTTTCATCATTCTTCATCACCTCATTCAAGAGGGGCAATTTGCTCCCAGTAGAGCACGACTCACTGTCAAGTTGTTTGTCGAACAAAATTAAAGGGTGGCCATGACTAACATGTTGGATCTTTGTCGCCCCTTTATACTTCCCTTGTAGTCTAATGCCCTTGATAAATTGGGTCATCAGATCAACAAATTCATTGGGTACTGGCAAATTGATCAAATTAGGGTCAAAGATTTTAGCTTTGGTATCTGCTTTGCACTCCCTGAAACCACAAAATGAAAAATAATAAGGTAAATTACACTCACATGAGGTTTCTGACAATTATAGGAACCTCCCTTTAATTTTAATAATTACCGAAATCTCTCTTATTTTTTCTGACATTATCAAGATTCCTCCCCTCCCGTTAATTTAAGCCAAATGATGTTAACTTGATTGTACAAATGACCATAATACCCTTTACACTTAATACTCTTTAATTGTAATTTACATATATATCAAATTATCATTTTATTTCTCACAAACTTTTTTTGTATTTCCTTGACTTTGTAATTTTTTTTTTCACACTATTAAGTTTTGAACTTTTATAAGTTTAAAAATAAATAAATAAATAAATAAACCATTAATGAAATTAAGAAGAATATCCATGTTTCTTATTTGAATTAATTTTGAGATTTAATTTAATAAAAATAATTTAAATGAAAGAACTAAAGATGGAGATATAGATTTTAGATGTAATAAATAACAAATTATTTGAGAATTTTATTATTTTCAAATAATTTATTTCTTCAAGTAAAATTCTATTTTAATTAGATGTAAGAAATGACAAATTTAAGTAGTTTATTTTTCTCAAATAATTTATTTATCTTTCAATCCCTATCATCTAATTTTAATTTATTGTAACGTGATTAGATATTTTTTTTACTTTTATATTTATTTTGAAAATTTTTATTATTAAGGTGAGATCTATTTAATTTTTTTTAATGATAATTAAAATTTGAGAATAATATAGGATTGTGAAAAGATAAAATGATAATTTTTTTATATATATTTATAAGGTAACATTTGGTATTTTTTATAAGTCAATTTTTTTATTATAAATATGAAATGTTATTATGTTTATTTTTCTTAAAAAAAATTAATACACAAATATGTTTATGTTTTGTAAGTTGGTATGGTATTGGGTGATACTAGCTAACATTGATGAAAGAAAAGAAATGATGAAAAACATTTGAGTAAAAAACATAGAGAAGAGAACAAATAATAATAATAATAATAATAATAATAATAATAAATTATATGGTGTTGCTATTTGCTGCAGTGACACTATGAAAAAATGAATGAGAAAATAAACGGAAAGAAAAATGAAAGAAATAAAATAAAGAAAATGGAAAGAGGTAGATAATTTCTCCAAATATGTATTTTTCATATGGAAAAAAAATCAAATACCTATATGTATTTTTAAATTTTTATTCAAACTTTAATTTCTCAAAATAATTATTTATAAAATTGGTGGTCTTTTTAAAAAATAAAACATCTTTTATACTTTGCTTCGTAAATAAAAATAATTATTTAATCTAATATAAGGTTTAATGGTGATCAATTTATTAGCTCTTTTTTTTTTTAAGATAAGGTAATGTTTGGTTATTCTACTATATATATATATATATATATATGA